CACTTTACTGGAACAGTAAATCAGTAATAGTTACTATATCTACTATATGGTTAAGTCCTCCAATCATTAAATTCATCTGAATCCCTCTTTCTTTCCTTTGTGTTTTAACTCTACTGTTGAATTTTTTTTTGCTTAACGTGGAGTGGTTTGACTAGTTGCATCACACCTGGAGCATCCACTTCACAGCTACCATTAAAATAAGAAAACTTTAGCGGCTAGACTACCTTCTTAAAGGAGGAGTTCTGGCTTTGTCCATAATGAGTCCGACAGATTTATTTGTAATCACAAGCCTTCAAAGTGCTGAGGCAATACTCCTTCATCACTTCACCTGATGAAGGAGGAGTGCTGCGAAAGCTTGTGATTTCAAATAAACCTGTTAGTCTATAAGCTGGTGTAATCTGATTCCTCATTGCCACTTTTCTTGAATTCCATACCTATGTTCTTCTTTACAAGGGTGAAGGTGAAGAGAGGTATTCATTCAACACCCTTCCAATATCCTGTGGCTTCACACACAGGTTGGCCTCTTGGCCCATCATGGCCCTACACTTCCCCTTGTTAACCACTTCCCTTTAATATGTTTATAAAATATCTTTGGAGTCTACTTAATCCTGTTCGCAAGTCCTTTCTCATACCTCTCTTTGCGTTTCTAATTGATTTCTTAAGTTCTCTCCTGCATTTCCCGTATTCATGTAGGGTACAATTGAATTGCTCCCTTTGGACTTGATAAAAGTCTTTATCCAGTCGTGAATTGTCCTTAGTCAGAAGTCACATGACTCCAGGTTACAGTCCAACAGGTTTATTTGAAATCTCAACTTTCAGAATATAGACAATTCATCAGGTGATATCGTGTTGTGGTTGTTGTCGCCGAAATGTTACTCTCCTGCCACATCAAACACTTGTCCGGCTTCTTTCCCCAGAAGCAGATGTCCCGTCACACCATGTCTTGTTGGGTCTCGTATGTATTGAGACAAAAAACTCCCCTGGATACATTACAAGAAATCCAACCCCTCTAAAATGCTTGACATTATGCCTGTGTCAATTTATGTTGGGAAAGTTGAAATTCCCTCATATAATTATCTGATCATTGCTTTTGCAAACCTCTGTAAACTGTTGACATGTTTGCACCTCTATTTCCCGCTCAATCTTTGGGGGCCAGTAAAGTAGCTGCCTCGTTATCATTCCTAAATTCTACTCCCAAAGCCTCTTTTGTGCATCCTACAAGAATGTCATCCCTCCTTATTGTAGTAAGTGACTCCTTAGTTAATCCTGTTACATCACCACACTTTCTTACACTCGTCTCTGCTTTGCCTCATGATTCAATACTCTGGATGTTGAGTTGCCAGTCCAGACCTTCCCTCAACCATGTTTCTGTGATGGCATAGTATCATACTTCGCTGCATCAATCTACACTAGCTACTCTGCAGTCTTACCTATTAAACACCTCTCATTAAAGTAAAGACGATCCAGCCTTACCTTTCTCTCTTGACACTCAACATAGCTGAGCTTACCATGAATTGTTTACTTCACTGTAACATGATGGGTCTCAGTTTCATCGATATGCTGTGTCTCCTGTGCCAGGCTGGTTTAAACTCCTCCCAATAACACGAGCAAACCACCCTGAAAAACTCTTGGTACCTTTGAGGTTCAGGTGCAGACTGTCCCATTTGTACATGTCCCACTTTCCCCAGAAACAGTCCCAGTGATTCAGGAATCTAAAACCCTCCCTCTTTCATCCACTCTTGAGCCACACATTACATGTCCTACTTCTAAACTCACTACCATGTGGTACTGGCAATAATCCAGAGATTACAATGATTGAATTATTGTTTTTCAATCTACTGCCTAGCTCCCCGAATTCTCTATGCAAGACCTCATTCCTCACTTTGGCCATATCATTGATATCATCATGTGCAAAGACTTCTAACTCATCACCCTCCACATTCAGGATGCCCTGAAGACTCTCAGTGATATCCCTGAACCTGGCACGAATGAGGCCACACACCATCCTGGTGTTATGTCTTCCGGTGCAGAATTGTTTGTCTGCTCCTGTGACTAAAGAACCCTCAATTCCTGTTGCTCTTCCTTTCTACCTCCTCCCATTCTGTACAGTCAAGATTCTAGTGAGGTCAGAAACTTGTCTCTGACTTCATTCCTCCGAGACAGCAGCAGACACACCATCTTCCAAAATGTAATACCAGTCAGTGATGTGCCCCCGTGGGACTCATGCACCACTTGCCTGTTCTTTCTGGGTTGCCTGGTGACCTATTCACTCCTTTCCTCTAGCCCCTTGAATTGCGATGTCAACACATCTCCAAACATGCTATCCATGTAATCCTCAGCCTGGTGGATATGCCGGAATGTTGCAATCAGTTTCTCAAACTTTGAGACCTGGAGCTCCAGCTTCTGAAATTGGGAACATTTTCTGCATATGTGGTCATCTAGGACACTGGAAGAATCAGGGACTCTCCACATAATCAAGCTTCACATTCCGTTTGGCTGGCCTCTCATGACATCTCTTATTTTGTGAGGCTTCATACTCTATCACTTGTGCCATGAAAGGGTGAACTCCAACTCAGATTCTAGGCCTATTAAACAAAAGGTTAATCAGTAATTGTTAGTTGACCACTACTCACCAACCAGAGCCTTTCTCAACTTTTGAATTTATAACAATAACTGGAGCCATACTGCAGATTCTTGTACTGTCCCTGCAGCTTATCGATTACTGTGTCCTTCCCCACCTCCCGGCTGTTACTGCGGGGTTGACCATCTCCTACTCCAAGCTAAGTCCCCTTATGGATGTAATGTCAGTCAAGCAGGCTGCTTTATACTGGATGGTGTCATGCTTCTTGACTATCATTGGAGATGCACTCATCCAGACAAGTAGGGAATATTCCATCACAATCTTGACTCGAGTATTGTAGATATTGGACAGGCTTTGGCGAGTCAGAAGGATAGTTCCTCACTGCAGCATTCCTTGACTCTGTTCCCTAGCTTTTGTTCCCACTCTGTTTATATGACTAGCCCAACTCACTTTCTGGTCAGTCATAAACGCCTGGATGTTGAGTACAAAGGATTTTGTGATGATAATACCATCGAATGTCAAGTGTCAGTGTTTAGATTTTCTGTTATTGGTGATGGTTATTGCCTAGCATTTGTAGCGCAAATGTTACTTGCCACTTTTCAGGCAAAGTCTGTAAAATAAGTGATTGTTTGTTATAAAGAGCAGAGTAAATAATGTGTATGTACCACCAGGAAATAAATGGCCGAAACAGAGAGATAGACTCTTGCAGTGGACTCCATTTGTGTGGTGCAAACAGGTTCATAGCTGCTATTTAATGGTATAAAAAACAGGGTGGACTGTCTCATTGGAGGGAAGTCTGGAGAGATGAATGTGAGGGAACAGTTTCATCCATTAAGTGTGGCCAGCCATTTGATTGGAAAGCATCCTATCCAAATGCATCATCACTTGGTATGGCAACTGCTCTGCCCAAGACTGCAAGAAATTTCAGAGATTTGTGAATGCAGCCCAGTCCATCACGAAAAGCAGCCCTCTTTCAATTGTCACGATCTACACTTCCGGGTGCCTCGGAAAAGAAGCGAACATAATCAAAGACTCTCCTGTCCTGTTCTGTTATACTCTCTCCCTCCCTCTTCCATCAGGCGGAAGATTTAAAAAAGAGTTTGAAAATGTGAACCAACAGATTTAAGCACAGGTTCTTCCCTGCTGTTAACAGACTTATGAATGGACATCTCCTATTTTAAACTTTCTCTGCACTTTCTCTGTCTGCATTCTGTTCCATTAGCCTGATATACCTTTGTAAGTCATGATTTGTCTGGGTAGCACACGATACAATACTCTTCAGTCCAACTTGGTACATGTGACAATAATAAATCAAATCATATTATGACTGGTCATTGACATTATTGCTCAAAACCTGTTCTGACAATTATCCTTTCATGTCATTAGAAGAGTAAGGGAAGGAAACTGCCATCCTTCGCTGGTCTGGCCAACATGTCACTCCAGACCCGCAGCAATGTGTTTGTCTCTGAGCTACCCTCTGGGCAATTAGGGATCAGCAATAAATGCTGCCTGGTCAGCAATGCCCTCATCCTGTGAATGGATAGAGGAAAACAAAATTTTCTTCAAAAGGCAAATTATATGCTAACTGTCATGATAAGGTGCCGAGGTCCTGGTTTGGAACTGGGGTAGACAAAATCAGAAGTCATGCAACACCCGGCTGTAGACTGTGACAATCCTCTCACTTTAAAAAGATTCTTTTATCCTGGTTCTTTTTTGAAGAGAGGTGGTAAAGACAGAGGTGTCAAAGTGTCTAGGTTAAGAAGCATTTTTTTAAAAAAAACAGTTTAACAATGGAAGGGGAGTGGTCTGTTCTCCCAGATCAGGCTTTCTACTTCTTTTTTAGCTGTACAAGTCACAACATGTTTGAGACGGAGACCTTCAGAAAATGATTCCTAACTGGGCCTTTCTCTGAAATCTCTCTTGATGGTGTTCCCTTCTGGATTGGAAACTTGCCTATAAGAATCTGTGTTTAAATTTGCCTTTTTCACAAGGTGTATGTTTATGGGATGTCACTTTATTGGAACAGTTAATTAGTAATAGTTACTGTACATACTACACGGTTAAGTTTTCCAGCAGTTAAATTCATCTGAATTCCTCTTTCTTTCCTTTGTGTTTTAACTCTATTGTTTATTTTTTTTTGCTTGACGTGGAGTGGTTTGACTAGTTGCATCACACCTGGAGCATCCACTTCACATCTACCATTAAAATAAGAAAATGTCAGTGTCTAAGCCACCTTCCTAAAATATTCTGAGGAGCTCTGGCTTTGTCCATAATGAGTCCAACAGGTTTATATGTAATCGCAAGCCTTCAAAGTGCCGAGGCAATATTCCTTCATTACTTCACCTGATGAAGCTGCGAAAGCATGTGATTTCAAATAAACCTGTTAGCCTATAAGCTGGTGTCATCTGATTCCTCATTGTCACATCCTATTGATGGATCTGAGAATCACAGTGAAAGGGAGCTTCACAACTGCTTTTAGCTGCTCTCGGAATTGCGTCTGGGTCACTGTGTATATGCAAGTGTTTGTGCAAGTACAGAGGAGCTGGAGCAGGTATCCGATGGTACCTGCAGCTGGGGAAAGTGGAGGATAATCATGCAGTAATGCAATTCGTTGATAAAGTAAGCATGTATTATAAGGGGACCATAAAATAATGAAGCTGCCTGCAATCGCAAAGAGTAAAATGATGGATTTTCTGCGTTTGACCATCTCTGGGTCACTGTGCTTCTCGTTGTCACTGTCCTTCTGGAGTCTCCTGCGGGCTTTACTTGCTACTAAAACATGTCTGACAGTCAAAGTATTCAGAACAAGAATGATAACGAATGGCAGTAAAGGGGATAGAACGCGATGGAATACACCATATAATGTCCAGAAGTTTGAAATGTAATACTCTGCTTTTGTGATGCAAAACCATGGCAGGTTATCAAAGATATACTTGGATTGGAACTTGAAATACCAGGGAATGCTTTCAATATAGCTCAGCACACTCACTGTTACAATAATCATGACTGCAGTTTTCTCGGTGCAGTATTTGATTTTAAGCTCCTGGCAGCAAATAGCCACAAATCGATCAAAGGTGAAAGCAACAGTCAACCAGACAGAATTCATTGTGGTTGCAGGAATGAGCACCATAACCAAACTGCAGACATAAGTAATATCAAGGAAGGATACTGGGAAATACATGATAAGCCACCTCAGCATCACATCAGAGATGACAACAAGGAGGTCAGCTGCCGCCATAGCTGTCAGGTAACACGTGATACATCTCGAGAGACCGCAATTCCTCCGCGACAGAATCACAATCGCCAACAAGTTAACTTGAACACATAAAGAAAACCAGGTGGTTGTATTTAATAAAGAGATAACAAGGTGTATATCTGGATGAACACATGAGTTTAACCATATCTTCTGCTGAATTTACCTCATCAAATATTTGATAATTATATTTGATTCTACAGCTGTTTTTCACAGGCAATGTTTTGAAAAAATATTATTATATGCATTTGTAAGAAACTGAAGGAATATATATCTCAAATAAATGCATGATTACTCAAATATTACACTGCAGACAAAGTCACAGACACCACTGTCACCATTTGTGGATATGTCCTGTCCCACTGGCACAACTGACCCATCAGAGATGGTGACACAGTGGTAAACACTCTGAAGGGATTTTTCTCTGGAAGTCAAAAACATTGACTCTGGATGTCATCAAGTCTCATATAATCACATTAAACTTGGGCAAGGAAATATGTCAGTGATTATCATGATCTGCTCTTACTCAGCTGTTGAATTGGCATTCTTCAACAATGAATAACACATCAAGAAAGTACTGACAGTTGCTATTGCGCAAAATGCACTCTGTCTGGGGAACTTCAATGTTCACCACCAGCAATGGCTCAGCACTACCGATCAAGTTGTTCAGGTCCGAAAGGACATAGCTGCTAGACTGTGTCTGCAGTGAGTGATGAAGGAACCAACATTAAGGGAAAAAGTATACTTATCAATCTGCTGGCTGCAGATGCATTGGTCCATAACAGTATCTTTAAGAGTGGCCAGTGCAGAGCCCTTGTGGAAACAAAGTCTCACATTCTCTTTGAGAATACCCTCCGTCCTGTTTCATGGCACTATCATGGTGCTAAATCAGACAGATTTCAAACAGTTCTATCAATTCAAGACTGGGCTTCCGTTAGGCACAGTGGGCCATCGGCAGCTGCAAATTCATACTCTAAAACAACTTGCAAACTCATGGCCCAGCATATCCTCCAATATACCATTACCATCAAGCCTGAGGATCAATCTTCCTTCACTGGAGAGTGGAGAAGGCCATGACAGGAGCAGGAGCACATCAGAAAATGCGGTGTCAACCTGGTGAAGCTATCAAACAGGACGACATGCGTAAAAAAACAGCATAAGCAACAAGTGAAAGAAGGAACTAAGTGATCCCACAACCAATGACTGAAATCTACCATGTCCAATTAAAAAAAAATCTTGAGGAGTAGGAGGCTACACAAATATCCCCATCCTTCATGTTGAAAGAGCTAAGCTCATCAGTGTAAAAGATAAATATGAAGTATTCATCACAAACTTTAGCCAAAAATGCCAACAGAATAATCCATCTTGGCCTGCCCCAGTGATCCCCAGCATTCCAAAGACACATTTCAGCCAATTTGATTCACTCTATATGATTTCAAGAAGCAATTGGAGGCACTGGAAGCTGCAAACGATACAGGTGCTGACAACGTAACAGCAGTCATACTGAAGATTTCTGCTTCCGAACCCCAGCCATGCTGATTCAGTTCAGTGACAACATTGGCATTTATGCGACAATGTGGAAAGTTGTCTGGCAGTGTTTGACATGTGAAAAGCAGGACAAATCCTCCAGATCATCCAATTGATAGAAGTTGTCATCAACAGTGCTATCAAACAGCAGTGACCTGCCCACTGACACCCAATTGGATTCCGCCAGAGCTACTCAGCTCCTGACTTCAAAAATGAACGAAAGAGCTGAATTCCAGAGGCGAGGTGACCATGACAGTCTTTGACCAAGTGTGGCATTAAGGACTCAAGCAAAGCTGGAATCAATGGGTATCAAGATGCAAACTCCCATTGGTTACAGTTATTCCTGGGATCTAGGATAACGTTGCTGTTGGAAATCAGTCATCTCAGCTCCAGGATATATCTGAAGGATGATTGATTGATTGATTTATTGTCACGTGTACCGAATACCATGAAAAGCTTTGTTAACGAGCAGTATGTGAAGGTCACAGCAAGCAAAAGATATACGGATCAAAAAGACTTAAAGGCATACAAGTTACATTGCAGGTTACATTATTTGAGCCGACAGTTTGTTCAATCATCTGATAACAGCTGGGAAGAAGCTGTTCCTGAATCTGCTCATGCGTGTGTTCATGCTTATGTATCTTCTGTCCGACGTAAGAGGTTGTAGGAGGTCATTACCAGGGTGCGATGGGTTTTGATGATGTTGCCCACCTTTCTGTGGCAGTGAGCCATATAAATAGAATCCAATAATGCAAGCTTGGTTTCCATGATGATCTGGGCTTTGCGCATGAACCTCTGTAGATTTTTACGGACCTGGGCAGAGCAGTTGCCGTACCAAGCCATTATGCACCCGAACAGAATGCTTTCAATGGTGCATCTGTAGAAGTTGGTGAGGGACTTTCTGGACATGCCCAATTTCCTGAGGTACCTGAGGAAGAAGAGGCATTGTTGTGCCTTCTTGACTGCTGCATTTGCATGGGAAGCCCAGGACAGCTCATTGGTTATCTTCACTCTGAGGGAACTTGATACTCTTCACTCTGTCAACCTCAGTTCCACTGATGTAGATGGAGGTGTGTTCTCATCCTTGCTTTCTGAAGTTGATGATCAGTTATTTCATTTTGCCGACACTGAGACACAAATTGTTTTCATTGCACCAGATCACCAAGGCCTCTATCTCCCATTTGTGTTTTGACTCATAATTGTTAGGTATCGTCGCCCTACGGTGGTGTCATCAGTGATTTTGTAGATGGCATTCATTCAGAATTTGACAACACATTTGTAAGTGTGGAGGAAGTACAGGAGGGGACTGAGGACGCATCTTTGGTGAGCTCCAATGATGTATGTTATTGTGGAATAGGTGCAGTTACCTTCACTGATTGCAGCCTGTGGGTCAGAAAGCTGAAGATCCAGCTGCAGAAGGCGTAGCTGAGACCATGGCCACACAGTTTTGAGACTGATCTGCTGTTCCTCAGAATAAAGTTCTATGCCCAACGTTCTTCAGCTGCTTTATCAATGACATTCCCTCCATCACAACATCAGAAGTGGGGATGTTCGCTGATGATTGTACAATGTTCAGCACCATTCATGACTCCTCAGATACTGAAGCAGTCTATTTTCAAATTCAACAAGACCTGGTCAATAAATACAATGGCTACAAGACTTCTTCACACAGAGAGTGGTGTGTATATGGAATAGGCTTCCAGAGAAAGTGATTGAGGCAGGCATGATAGCAAATTGAAAAAAACATTTGGATAGGTACATCGATGGGAAAGGTTTAGAGGGATATGTATCAAGGGTCGGCAGTTGGAACTAGCTGAGTGGGCACCATAATCAGCATGGAGCAGTTTGGGCCAAAGGGCCTCTTTATACGCTGCATTACTGTATGAATCTATGAAACTTAGAGCAAATCAGAATCTAAGAATGCTGCAGCGAATAACCTACCTCCTGAATCCCAGAGCCTGTCCACCATCTACAATTCACAATTCAGGAATGTGCTGGAATACTCCCCATTTGACTGGATGGTTGCAGCTCCTACAGCTCTCAAGATGCTTGACACCATCCAGGACAAAACAACCTCATTGTAATCCCTCCACCAACAAAGTTTCATCTCTGCAGTCTGTATTATCTACAAGATGTACTGCAGAAATTTGTCCAAGATCCTCTGACTCCACCTTCAAAATCAGTGAGTGCTTCCATTCAGAACTATCTAGCTGACACATGGGAAATTCAGCCCCTGCTAGTTACCCACAGGGTCAGTCACTATCTTGACTTGAAAATATATCACTACTCCTTCACTGTTGATGGGCCAAAATTCTTCAATTTTCAGCTGGGAGTCTACCTGTAACATGAGGACTGCAGTGTCAGCTACCACCACCTTCTCAAAGTCATACTAGTGTTGGGCAATAAATGCTGGGCAGCCAGCAACATCCATATTCCACAAGGTCAAGGAGAAATGGTAAATACTTTGTTCAACACCAAAGTATGTCCAAGAATGAGTTGCCATTTAGTACTTGAGCCTGAAGACCATGGATAAAATTATGGCTAAGCAGGTTGTGGTGATAACTTCACTAAGCTGTATGACCCTAAGGTAGGAAATTCCAATCAGTGGAAGTGGCTTTTCAGCATAACTCACCTGCAAACAATGAAACAGTTGCCAATGATCACTAAATTATGAGCTCAATTATGATTCTTTTTCATTCAAGTGCACTATTTTCTTCTTAAATATTGGCTTTTTCCTCAAAGTTGCATGTTTCCATGTCTAATCAATGACTGTAGGCTGTTTCCATGATTTGAACGTAGAGTAATTCAACAAAAATGGGATTAGATTTCAGATATACGTTCGAGTCTTTGATATCAGCAAATTCAATTTTTTTACATCACTCAAACTGCACAAATACACTTAAAAATTAGAAGGAATATCATGAAGTTTTTTTGTGAAAAAATACCATTACATTTGATAGGGGTTCCCGATTGGCTCGTAGGTGATGTTGAAAAATATTTAGGTAAGATTGAATGAACAGTTTAGAAAGAGAGACACTTGTCATAAGTGGCATTATTTTGACCACCATTTTTGCTCAAGTACAGTTAACTCTCGAACAGAAATGGTTGACAAAGTACGCAGAAGTGGACAGATGTTACTTACCAGGTACTCCAATAATAATGAGCACAGGACAGTAAATGAACTCAACATCAGCAAGTGTTGGTAGGGCATTGAAAGGATACTTCATTTTCTTTGTCAAATACTTCAAGCTTCACTTGAAACTGTAACTAACTCAACGAGTTTATATACATAACAACGAATTCCTCCAAGGACATAATTAGGTCAAGATTACTTACAGTCTAATGAACAAACAGAAGTAAAACTTGCAAAGAAATGGTATTGGAATAGATTGTAGAGCTCTCTAATGTGGACTGGGATCACAGAAACACAAGGCAGCCAGAAAAAATAAAATCCGCAAAGCATCTGTGTGAACATCTGTAAAATGTTCTGTAAGGACGTAGGGCTGATTTTGAAAGTGGCCACAGTATGTTCATTTCATTCTTTCCTGGCATGTGGCATCCTTGGCAAAGCCAGGACTTCCTGCCCACACCTAAGTATCCTTAAGAAGGTGGTGGTGTTTGGTGGTCCTGTACCACTGCCATCCATCTGGTGCAGATGCACACACATATTGTTGCACCCTTCATCAAGATGGAAAGTGAGGTAGTTGATTCACAGACTACAGTCCTGAATCTGAATAAAGGAAATTACAATGCAATGAAGCATGAACAACTATGATGTATTGAAAAAGGTTACTGGAATGAATAACAGTTGGTACACAATGAAAAACTTTGAAAGAACAAATGGGTGAACTTCAAAAATAGCTTATTCCTGTCGGATGAGAGTGCAATGGGAACAGTAGTCAAAACGTGTCACATGATGGAATTCAGAGGGTCTTAAATGCAAAAGAGAGACATTCAAATTGCTTGGAAAAAGGAATAGACCTGAGGACTGTGAACAGTTTTCAAGTCAGCAAAGGAGGTTCAACGACTTCCTTAAGAAGGGGAAACAGAACATGAGAGGAGGCTTGAGGAGCAACGTAAGAACTGACTGTAAAACTTTCTCTGAGTATGTAAAGAGGAAAACTCTGATGAATACTAATATAGGTCCATTACAGTTAATCCACAGTACTCTAATCCCTCTGTATGTTAATTTTTCTAAGTGTTCTGCCACTTATTGTAGACTTCCCTCCTGCATTAAACGGTCCAAGATGCAGGTCACTTTTGTCCAGATTAAATTTCATCTGCCATTTCTCTACTTCAGTTTCTAGCCTATCTATATCCTGTTGTATCCTCTGACAATCCTCCTCACTATCTGTAGCTCCCCAAACATTTGTGCCAACCACAATATTACTGATCAAAACACCTACCTTCTCCTCTAAATGACCAGTGTTTACCATCTTATCAGCTCACTGATCACATGTGCATTCACTTTTTGTACCAGCCTATCATGAGGGATCTTCAGAAATGTCTTGCTGAAGTACATATCAATAACATCTGCTGCCCTCAACAATCATCTTTGTCACTTCCTCTAAAAACTCAATCAAATTTGTGAGACACAACCTCTACCACTCAAATTCATGCTGCCTATCACTAATAAGTCCACATTTTTCCAACTGTGTGTAAATACTATCCCTAAGAATCTTCTCCAATAATTTCCCTGCCACTGACATAATGATCATTGGCCTTTAATTTTCTGGATTATCCCTGCTGCCCTTCAAAACAAAGGAACAAATTTGGCTACTCTCCAGTCCTCTGGGATCTCTCCTTTGATTAAACAGGATACAAAGATTTCATACAAGGCCCCATTAATGTGCTCCCTTAGTTCCATCAGTATTCTTGAATGAATCCCAGATGATTTCCAAATAAGCGAATCTAGCAATCACCCCTTGACTTTCAACAACACAGACCATGCTGAGTACCCAACTATCATGAACCTGAGGGTTAGAATTGACGAGTAAAATGACTGGTACAGCCACATAAGACACAAAGTCTAGAAATACTGTGATAGAACATAAACCTCCTCTCTTTGCACTACCTGCAATCAAGAAGTCAGATGTGTGATGAAAATTGCACACTTCTCTGAAAGAAAAAATAAAGATGCTGAAAACATTCAGCAGTTCAGACAGCATCTACGAAGAGAAACAGTGGACATTTCATGATAAAAATTTGTCAAATTAGCCTTTAACAATCAGGAAAAATACCTTCAATTCCATATTTCATCAATACCTGACAATTATCATGACGTCATGCATTTTCCAATGCAATGCCCCTCCCAATCAAAGTCTGACTGTTTTCCAACATGCAGTCACCTCTCATGCAATATGAATTTTCTTTTCAATTTGCGATGCAATTTGGTGTGAATTGTCTTAATAAGTGCAAAATGAAGAGTTACCACGGAATGAAACCTTTCCCAGCAATGTTTAAGGATTATATTTGATTTGATTGCATTTATAGTAGTCACATGTGCCTAAGTACAGTGAAAAGCTTTGTTTTGCAAGCAGTACAGGCAGGTCATAAGATGCTTAGACAGAGAAAGTCGTACTAGGCTCTGACTGCACAGGAGATGCACAAAGCAGGATCGCCATTATTTAAAGCTGGAGAAGTCCATTCAGCAGTCTAACAACATCAGTTAAGAAACTATTCCTTAAGATATTGGTGCGTGTTTTTAAGCTTCTGTATCTTCTGCCCAAGAGTTTGGACGAGAGCATTACCGGGGTGTGAGGTGTCTTTGATGATGTAGGCAGCCTTTCTGCAGCAAAGAGAATTATAAGTGGAGCCCATGGATGGGAAGTCAGCTTCCGTGATGGTCTGGGCTGTGCATACAACTTTCTGTATTTTCTTACAGTCCTGGTCAGAGTAGTTGCTGTATCAGGCCGTTTTGTATTGGGATAGAATGCTTTCCATGCTGTATCTGTAAATTTTGGTAAAGATCCTCATGGACATGCTGACTTTTCTAGGCTCCCAAAGGGAGAAGAGATGTTTTGCGCCTTTCTGACTCTAACTGTGTGTCAGTGTTTAATTTCTTATTTCCCTGGGTGAGTGACACTTCAACTACACTCAAAATTCTTCATATCTTCCATGACAAAGCGATTGTCTTATTCCACATCTGCCCCCATCAGACGTCTGCTTCTTTGAGCACTGGAACAGCTGAAAAATGATTATTTGACAATCCCTTCCCAAACAATTCTGAAATTTGGATAAGAAATTCAATTATGCCTTATTCTCTTTTTTCAATGATGAAGTGATTGAAGTGACTAAATTTTATTCAATATAAACAAGAATTGTCATATGCTGATATCTGAATTGCATAATGAAGTGCAACAATTTTACTTCTTATACTTTGGGTATCAGTTGATTTCCACACAGTTCAATCATGTTCTTTCTATTTAATGCTGCGCCTACAAATGTGTCACCTGCCTCAGCCCCATTCCTTTGTGATGGTCTGTCTGTAGGATGGTGTCTGATCCATGGCTGATTACCCTTCTTTCCCTTCCCAGGTGATCCCTTTTTGTATTTCCTTTCATAGTTCATGGAGACTGATTTATCTCAGCAGCAAAAAATTCTGGAAAATCAAGCCAAAAGCAGAAGGTGCTGAAGTAACTCAGCAAGTTTCTCGTGGAACAGAGTTGGCATTTTGAATTTCTTCAGTACCAAAGAGAAAGGTGGAAGATTGATGTGTTTTGTACAGGGAAAAGGTGGGGAGAAGCAAGTGGGACCTAAAAGCAGACTTGAGTAAGGTTGCAGAGGAAAAGTAGAAATCATAGTTATCACAGGAAAAAAAGGGGGCAAAGGCAGATCTGATACATACGACAGATCTTGGGAAGGTGTGATTAAGGGAAAAAAAAACAAGAATACAACATACTGATGTAGGGATGAGTGGAAGGCTATCGAAATGGAGACCAAGGTACACAGTTTGAAGTTTTTGATCTCAATGTTGTGTCCCAGATGAGCTGCTGTTCTTCCAGACCTGCTTTGGTTTTCACTAACAGAAATGTCAGCATGAGAACAAAATGCTGATTTAAAATATTAAGTGAATGCTGATTAGGCATATTCCACACAGTCTTCAAGTCTGCTATGTTGTTAACATGAATTTTAGTAATGCTTTAACTTGAAATACTCTGACTCTCAACTCCATATCTGCATCTCATAATTTTATTAAGTTCTAAGAAGGTTTACGCTCAGCCTCTGCCGCTCCAGAGAAGAGAACCTGAGTTTTCCTAACCATTCCTTTTTGCTCATTCCCTCTAATCCAGGCAGCAACCTGGTAAACCTCTTCTGCACCTTCTTCAAAGCCTCCATGTCCTTCCTGTAATCTGGTGAACAGATTGAATGCAATAATGTAAGTGTGGCTGAACCAATGTCTTATAAATCAGCAACATGACATCTTGACTCTTGTATTCAGTTCCCTGACAAATAAGGGCATGCATACCATACACCTTCTTTACCACACAATCTATTAGTGTGCCCACATTCAGGGAGCTATGGACTTGAACCTCAAATCCATCTGCCTCTTGTCTAAAACAACAAAACACTGGAAATTTCAGCAGCCAATCCCTTCCCTCTCTCAACCAAGTCTCTGTAATGGCCCATAGTCCCATGTGCAGATCCAGGCCCTAAACCTATCTGCCTTAACTATAATATTCTTTGCATTGACATAAACCATTTCTTCAGCCCATCAGTAAAATCATGTTCATTTCTCTGCTTGTTGTTCATTTCTGACTCACTGGTCATAACATCTAATTTCCCCTCAATCGATCCACTTGCTGACCTGCTGCTTTGGTTCCCAGCCACCTGCCACCCGGGTTTGAAGCCTCCCAAGCAGCACTACAAACCTCCATGTGAGGATATTGGTTACCCTCCAGTTGAGGTGCAACTGATCCCTCTTGTACGGTTCACCCCTGCCCCAGATGATGTCTCAATGATCCAAGACTCCCCCTCCCTCCAACAGCTCCTTAGCCACGCATTCATATGTCCTATCTTTATATTCCTTGCCTCATTAGCATGTGGTACTGGTAGTAACTCAGAAATTACCAACCTCGAGGTCCTGCTTTACAGCCTCTTTCCTGATTTTCTGTACTCACTCTGCAGGACCTCATCCACCTTTCTACCTATGTTGTTGGTATCAATGTCCAAAACAAAAACAGCTCACCCTCCCCCTTAAGAATTTCATGCAGCCATGCAGGGATAT